GTTCTGTTTGGAGGGCTTGAGTAGGGTTTGAGCAGTCTCTGAAACTTGTTTTTGCTCTCCGCATATGGGAGTGGTGTTTGCGCAATGCCCAGTTAATGGGAGGTGAACTGCTCATCTAGGCAAACCATTTTTTTTTTCCTCTGGAGGATGTGGGACCCTTTAGACAAAAGTGCATTACGAAAGAAGAAACAAATTTATCCCAAAGTTTAGGGTAGAAGGTCATGAACCAGGAAAGACAGATGGGTGAGGAGTAAAACCAGTAAAAAAGTGCGAGAACTACACTGAGCCTGGGGAAAGATCAGATAAGAGAATGAAGAGATGAAGCAGCAATAAAGGAAAATGAAAGAGAACACAGACAACAAAGCTCCGAGGTAAGAGTAAATAGATTGTGTACATTGTCAGGCAGCAGCTATTTATTGGGAACTTGGAGAATATCAGTACCAGCTTTTCTCACACGGACAGCTATAACTTTCTCCAGAAAGGACGAAATGTCAAAAGAAGTGTATGGTCTTCCCACGGATACTGCTGCAGCAGCTGTTACAGGAGGCTCTATCATGGTCATGGGGCTGGCAGAATTATCATTTGCTTGCTGAAAAAAAGATCAGTATTTATTTCTGATGGTGTGGGAAAAGAAAGCAAGAAAGCAACTTTGACTTCTTCATGACTTGTGTAAAATTTCAAAGGCCCAGAGTCACACAAACAAGCATAATATTACATAATATACAGTAAAAAAACATAATATAACAACACCATTTGTAGATTCTGCTTTATAGCCTAGAAGTAGAGAGTTAACATGTACAGGTTTCCTCAGGACACCTCTTTAGTAATAGCTCCCAGCTACAGCCTTTTGGGTATTGGTCTGTTTTTTGAGTGGGAATGTCTTATATCCTCATCAGGAAAAGGGTTAAAAAACTAGCTTCTGGCTAGTTTGACACAGACACTGAAAGACCTGCAAAGTTTCTAGTCCAAATTTCCCTTATCTATTACTTCGAGTTTCATCCTCAGCAGATGTAATGAGAACCTTACTCCTTTGTTGCAGCCCCTTACCTACCTGAGTGCTGCTATCATGCCTTCTACTAATCTTTCCCTCTCTGGGCTAAACAAATGTAATTTTTGCAATCCTTCTTGAGAGGTTGTTTTTTTCTAGACTCCTGATGATTTTTATGGTTCTCCATTAAGCCCTGCTTCAGGCATCCAAAACCTTCTCAATACCTTTCTGAAGCTGGACCAGGTACTTCAGCTGTGGCCTCACTAGTGCTTATCTGCATGGAGGGATTTTAATATGAACATATGCTTCTGTCTATCCAGTGCAAGGTCATGTGAAAAAATGTCAAACAGGCCATTTCACTCACTATTTCTGTAGTTACAGTGACTTTTCCATAAAAATAATTTCTTTTCAAAATCAGCTATTGATGCCAAAACATACAGAATTTAAATTCAGTAATTCATGTAATGAATATAATTAATATGTATTTTGAACAATCTATTCAACTTTAAAAATGTTTTTGTTTTGGCTTTTTGGCATTCACTTGTGTATGAGTTGTTTCATGTGGTATTTTAAACTTGGTGGTTTGTGCTCTGTAGTATCCTGTAGTGTACAAACAGAACTACTGATGTAATATCATGCAGTTATTTCTGCTTTATTTTCTGTCTTGATTATAGCAACAACAGGCACCTAATTAACACAAGGTCAAAACCTGGTTATCGTAGTCTTCCCAGTGTAAAGGTAAAAATAGTGAGCGAGGGAGGGAAGAAATTGGGAGCTCCAAGTTCAGACCTTGGAGACTGAAGCTTATATGGAAAGCAGTGTGAGGACAACTGTGGCCGTTTGTCCCTGGCTGAATTCAGGAACTCTTTCTGAATTTTAAAAAAGAAAGTAAGTTCTGTGTTTCAGTTCATTCATTTAGAAATCATGCCTGAAGACCAGATACAAATGATTTCACCATTGCTTTAATTTTAGAACAAATGTACCATTTAAATCCAAGCCAGAAAGGACAACAAAGGGAAATTCTGTGAACCTGAAGAGAAAAAAAAAAAACAACCACCAACAGTTTCTCTTTGTTTCATTTTGGCCTTGTGGCCATGGGTCAAATGTTTTTTGACTTCTTCTTAATTCCTTCTTATTTTTCTCTGCCACCCCTATTTTCTTCATTTCTTTTCTTATTTTCTCCTTATTAAGTCTCTGGGCCTTCCTGACCTTCACCTCTCATCTTTTTCCTGTCCTGTTATCTTTCTCCCAGTTCTGACTTCTTCTTTTCTTGTTATCTACTTTTAGACATGTTTTCTTTTTGGTTTTGGATCTTACCACCACCATCATCGCTTTATTCAGCCCAGTGTCACATCTGAGGACCCTTTATCTCCGCATGTGTTCTCCAGACACAAGGGTGCTACATCACAGGTGACCTACGCTCTTTTGGCTGACTTTATTGCCAGGGACCACAGCAAATGGGAGAGGTTTGTGTGTGGGAGCAGTTGCCGAGTAGATTTTGGCTAGTCCCACATCAGAGTACACCGAGGTGCCCTCATATCAAAGGGATCACTGCATCTGAATTTGTGAAAAACCATGAAATTGTAACTTAATTGGTTGTCCATCATCTGAGGCTGTAGCCAGCCTGACATGAGCAGAAAAACGAATCTTTCTGTCTCTCTCTTTGTCTAGCAACAGTCTCTGATGGGCCAAAGATCTGTTCTCAATAATTTTTGATCTCTTGCTTTTGTCCTCCATAGGATTCTCCTTAGTGACAACGTTGCAAAGAAGAGCATAATAAGCCACCAGTTCTATCACTTCTTTTAATCAACCTGTTCTCTCCAATATCCTGGCTAGTTTTAAGCATTTTTGCGTGTTGCTTTCAATTTGTTTTTAAAGTATAGTTAATTGTCCACCATTTTAAGAAAACAACTAATTCTTAAAACTCCATTTAATTCTATTCTGCTAACTTTAGTTTATCTCTAGTCTGTGATAAAATCAGAAAAGCGTGAATCATAATAATACCGTGACTTCAACTCTCAGTTTTTTTAGTTTTGAGGAAATCTCAGCCTATCAACATGGTTATTAAATGGAACACCTTTAAAGGATGAATAATCTAGGTATTGCAATGGGCTTTCCACAAAGACGTGCTTAGTTAAGGGAGAGTCAGAGAATGAGCTAACAGGCCCGCTAGTGCATTTAGCTGGTGTTACAGACATGGTAGTTACTGAGAGATGTTATAACAAGCCATATGAAATGTAGGCACCATTGAAAAAACATTCTGTTTTAGTGCTGTGGCCTCGTAGCGTGGGGATTTACAGCAGCTTTGTCAGCAGCTCGTAATGAGAATGAAGAGATGGAAAAATGCTTGTTGTTTAGGGATTTGAAGATTGCTTTTTGTTTTATTTGGATAAAATTTGCTTTCAAAGTATTTCAAGTGTGAGTTATGAAGCATTATTCTGACTGGGTGACTAAATGGCAGGAAAAACATTTTTTTAAACACACTGACTGTATTCATGTGTCCTGGGGTGGAGGGCTGGGGCAGCAGAAGGCCCATAGGGAATAGATTTAATTTGATGTGCGATATACCAATACTACACTGGGCCAGCACATGCTGTGACGAGGTATTGCAAAGGCAGCAGTGTACCTAGAAGAGATGACCAGGAGAGCAGGGCTCACCGGGAAGGGGAAACAACCCAGCTAAGGCCCTTTAGAAATGTGCAGGTGCCAAGAGGGGTGATAACACCTTACACTACTTGAAGAGAAGTTGTAAGTGCTCATCTGACTAGGCCTTAACATGTGCCTGCAGAGCTGCTGCAATTGTATTATGTATTTTTTTTTCCAGGTTAGATCTGTGACTCTGGCAGGCCTTGGGTGGTGTTCGTGATATGTTAATCGGAGCGCAGCATGCTGAGAAAAGGGAACAAAGCTGACTGTTCTGCCCTGTAGCCAAAAAAAGAGAGAATGCCAGCAGATATTACCATGAATGGAGTCACACAAGAATAGTGACATGCTGTCCTGACTCAGTTTTGTGATGTCTATATTACAGCATGCTAATGCAGCGTGACAGGATGTCATGCTCCAAACCTGAAAGCACTGGGGGATTAGTCCATGCCACTTTCCTCTCCCATTCAGTTGCAGAGCTTCTCTCTTCCTCCCCAAATGTATCCATCTTTGTCTCACAGTGGTGTAAAATGGTTGTGAAATGCCACCGTTTCTGACTCAATGTAGTTTTTTCACCCCCTTCATCACCCATTTAACTTCTTTCAGTAGAAAAATATGGACACCTCAGAAATAAGACTGAAAATCTTATTTGAAGCCAAAATGCTAGTTGAGTTACGTGTTACTACTTTTATTGGAAACTTTCACCTAAAAACTTTACCTAGGATTTTTAAGACTGGCATCATTTACTGAAGTAAACTCCCAACAGCTGGAGCGCTGCCTTGAGGGTAGTTGGGAAAGTCAGTCATTATTCAGCTTAATGCTTCCGTAGCTATATTTTGTGAATTCTCCTCTTCCCCTCATTTATAGGGATCAGAGTGATGCTGAAAATGCCTCCTGAAGTGCTTGTACTAGCCAGGAAGCTAGTACAATTTTGTTTCTCCAAGGCGGGAGAATGATTGTGTACTCCTGCAGCCAGTTATTTTAGTTAATCTTCTACCCTGAAGACCCAAAACAACTGTGGTTGTACTCGAGGAGAGGAAGAGCTAGTAAAAAAAACTTTAATTGCTCCAGGTTTTTTTCCAAACTAGACTTAGAGGCACTAATACCTCTTAGGAAACGACCCACAGTCCAAGGGGAAGGCCATAGCAGGTGCTCCCCATTACAGCAGTGAGGGCAAAGCTAAGAGGTTTAGGACACAGCTTGAAAAAGTTGCTAGCAGAGTTGTATGATTTCGTTGCTTCTGCTAATAGGCTTCTGAACTTGATTTTCCAGGAAGGTCCTTGCTGCTTTCTGCCTTATATGCCTATGTAGTGCTAAATAGATCTGGAAGGTGACTGAAGTAATGTGATTCTTTCTGTGTTTATTTCAGAAGATGATATTCCAACCAGTAGCGTCAGTGCAACTGTTTCTACATCGACATTAAAATTTGGTAAGAGTTCAAATTCACTGTTATCTGGTGTTCTGAAGCTCCCATTGCCTTTTTAGCTTTCAGCTTTTCCAACTTCTGAGATAAATTAGGTGAATTATTTAATGTAAGGTGGTTGTACAGAAATATGTTTCCCTGGGCCTCTTGTAAAAGTGTGTTGAGAAGAAAGGATAGAGGGATCTTAGTAAGGAGAGGGTTAATTTGAGCAGGCTGTGTTTTTTGTTGGTCCAGTGTCAGGCCTTGTTAATAGGAAAGGATACATGTGGATAAATCTGTCATTTGCAATTGGTAACTTCTTGAAACTTTTGATGTCAAGATTCACTTTTGGGGGTAAGAGAGTGGCATTAGTGTCCTCTGTTTCAAAAGCTGTATTCTCTCTCTGTTTTTGTTTGTGATTGCTTTTACAAGATCAAACTTAAAGTCCTAAAAGTATGAAGACTTAACAAAGAAAATACCTTCTTCATATGGTAAAAGTCTGTGATTCTGGTTTGTATCTTCAACTGACACATTCAATTGTCTATTTTGTAGCTTTGTAGTATGAAAAAATCAATATTGACCATATTTCATTCATGTGCGCTAAATTCCAGCTCCTCTGGAATATTTGAATTAGTTTGAATATTGAAGATTGCTGCATTTAATAAATGGTGAGAGAAGAAAACTTGGACACAAGATTATATTTTTTTATAACTAGAGATACTAATGAGTGTTTTGGAGCTGAAAGCACTGAGATGATAATGATGTATACACTTGAAGTGCTAGTAATGGACGTGAAGAAGGTCAGCAGTCTAGTCCAGCAGCACAACAAACCCATCCATCCACACCAGGCTCATTTCCCTTCACCTCTTCCCTTGGAAGTCATGCCAAGTACCTCTATAACTCCCAAAGAGCATACGCCTCTTCCTTAGGGGTTGGCTTGAAGGTACAGCTGCTAGCTTTCACTGGGAAACTTGCAGATCGTCCACAGGCCAAACCTCCTCTCTGGTACCAACCATATGCAATTTGAATCCTCTTTAAGAATGTGAGGGTAAGAAAGCTCTGTGAGAGTCTGACTTTAAACAGAAATTCACTGCCTTTGTGAGAGAAGGCAGTTAGAGGTATGTGATGTTTATTTATGCATGATAAAATAAATCAATAAAGATGTGCCTTTCCTGCAGTAACGGAAGCATCAACTTCACAAGCAACAACATTGCAAGCGTCAGTGCTGACAACAACTGCAATCAGAACTACAAATGAATCCATGACAAGCAGTAAGTGAAAATTTCTTTGAGCTAATTGTTGACACTGTTCCAGTGGTCATTCAGAAAATTAAGCAGCAGTGCCTCTTGTATTGGGAATTTGTTTTACAGATAGTGAACTCTTTGGTGAAACAGGTGTGCACAGGCGTGGTCACGCTCAAGGCAGCTCCAAGCCAGGCCTTGTAACTGCATTACTAAAGGCTTGTCTTCAGTGGGATGACCCACCTATGGACAGGGAGTGGCTTTCTCTGCAGTGAAGGGAGCCCTGTCCCTGTTGATCTTCAATTTAAATGAAATGCTTTTTTGATAATTTAAAATTAGACTGCAAGCAGGGCAATAGGTGTGTTTTGTGTGTGTGCATTTGTGTGTATACAAAATTGAGGAAATAATTTGAATGTTGTTCCTTTATTAGACTCCACACTTTCTTCACCTAATGCTACACAACAAATAACACAAGGTACAACAACACAACCACTGATAAAAGTGACCACTACAGCACCAGATGAAAGTGACAGCACAACAAAGAGTAAGTGACAATTTCATTGAGCCATTTCTGATTCATTGTATGCTACGTTTCTGTAAAACAGTGTGGAGCAACAAAAGGAGTCCAAAAGAGTAGTTTGTCTTACAGATTTAGAGGTTTGAGGAAGCAGAGCTATTCATCCTACCACATTACACATCTTTAATGAATCTTGCCCTTGTAGAATCTTACACAAAGCGTATTATACCTTTAATGTGTAGTAGAAGTGATCTCAAACTCTTACACAAGATTTTAATCTCCTTGTAATTGGGAGAGATGTGTTTGGAAGGGTTATAATTATTTATTTTCTTCTTGTTTTTTTTTTTAAGAAGTATTTAATCAAAAATAAATGATTCTATGTGATAAGAGTGGTGTCAGAGCATCTCCCTTTGTTTTTTATTTTTATATATGTTACAATGTTACAGTTAATTATGTTCTATATTATTATGAGTCATGGTACTGAAAGCAGAGAGGTGGTACTAATTACCCTGCATCAATCTTAGCGAATACTTTTATTCCCCATAAATCTTCAGAATAACCTGTGTTGGCCCAGTGTATCAGACTAGATTCTAGAAAAGGAAAATAAAAAAAAAAAATCTCCCTTATCCAACAAGTAGTTGAATTAATTTAAACAAGTATAATAACATCCGAAAGGAGATCAGTAAACTTAAGATGAAATTCAGGCTCCATTTTTTTGTCCATGAACTACACTATAAATATTTGCTCAAGTCTTTTGCTGAACCAGAGCTTTGAAATACTCCAATTTTTTATATTTAATTGACTCAACAAATTACAAAGAAATATCCCAGAGATTTGACTTGGCAGTCTGTGGTACACCAATGTTCTCAGAATTGATATTTAGAGCATACTGAACTGTGACAAATGATTAGAGCTTGACTTCTCTTCCTTCGGTTTGGTTGCCTAAAAAGAGACTCCTATGAAATGGCCTGCGTGCTTTCTCTGTGCAAATTCTCCTTTAAAGCTACCTCTCATTGACCCAAGCCTGCTAAGCTGCCCGGAGAGCAATCACCCTTTCACTTAGCGGCTACATCTTCTACTGACGCAGCCTTCCCGCCG